ATGAACTAACAAACTATACCGGAAAAATAAAATTGATGTACTAATTATAAACTCACTTTAGATACGGCAAAGTCATGTTCTTCATGAGCGATGGATTCATGGACACAAGATCTTTCCATTCATCTATATCAATTTTCCCGTCATTGTTGCGATCTGTTTCAATAAATGCCTACAAATATACCACATATATCCTTAAAACCTTTTAATCATTAAGATTATAATCATTAATATAAAGTTAATCATATAGTGTGCTAGATAGAAATATAAACAAAAAGGTAACAATGTGAAGTGAAGGACTACCTTATCCACCATTACTTCAATCATATCTTCAGAGAGAACAAGTTCAGATTCGTGAAGAAGCGCTGTTACCATCTCTTTCAACTGTATGTAAGAACAACACAAAAAGTTACGGGGAGCAACAAAATGTAAGTTAAAATCTCGAGGGTTCTAAGAAAATAAATAGACTAACTTCTTCTCGCTCGATGAATCCAGTTTGTCTTAAATCGTACAATTTGAAAGCAACTGCAAAATCATATGATGAAATGCCTTGTCAGTTAATTTAACATAGTATGGCTGTAAAGCAATATAATGTAGGAGTACAAAGAAGTGACATTTGATTTTTGCATCGACAGGTGCATTTGGATGGAAGACGCCTAAAGACCGGACAAATTCCCCAAACTCGATCACTCCATTTCGCTTTACATCAAATACATCAAATATCTAAGGATAACATAGTATAAATCAGAACTTTATATAAGTATACATATGCTTTCCATAAATGTAAGTTGATTTTGGTAGTTAGTTAATATTGGTACATACACGATCAGCGAAAAGATTCTTCCGGTTCCTATTTCTGAACAACGCCAGCTGAAACTCTTCCTACAACAACACGATAAGCCATATACGGATATAAATGATATTCAATTTCAAAGTAATGGTTGAGTAAAATAATTAAAGAAGAAACCTTATGAATAAGACCATCGTCGATGATTGAGCTGCTTAGCTTTTTGAACAGTTCATACAAAACAACCACTTCTGGTGATGTAACTATTGTCCATCTCAATATCAAAAGTAGAATGAAATTAGAATTAAGTCCAAAATCTAGAATATGTTTTCGTAAATATTAAGAGTAGTATTATATTTATAAAGATGTAATAAGTAAAAAACCGACAAGGCGTAACGGAGGAAAGAAGGTCAGGATCCTCATATCCCGGCGGTCGTATTGCAATTTTCTTCTCCTTCGACAGCGAGCAACCCATACCAACAAACCTTTCTTTCAACTGTTATTACTCTTTTCTTTCACTTTGCAACCAAAAACATACAAATCTTGGTTAGATATATTTTGCATCCAGATTTTCTGTAAAGTTCAAAAATAAACAATATTGCATCCAAAATGCATCCTCTTAAAAGCAAAAGCTAAAAACAGTGCAACAACAGGATGATGTATAAAAGTTGCATCCAGATGATAAATCTATATGTCACATCTGTATGCAGAAGAAGATGGCCTAAATTTTATTTTTAATTATATTTGGGACCCATTCATCTTAACCGAATTAAAATCAAATTTGATTTGTGGGAAAGGATAATTGAAATATAAAAAGTTTAAATGAAATAATACAATAGTGATGCTTTATCACGAGTTGGAGACAACATTTAGTTGTTTATTCAATTATTGTAGGAAAGGAAATTATGTGTCATTATTAAAGAAACGAAAAGTGAATTAGTTACAGTGCTGTCTACATGTATTACATAAATCTAGATCCATGTTTTCATTTTTTAATCTCTTTGCGTAATGAGGTAACGGTTTGAATAGTTTGTTGCTTATGTGAACTAATAATGGGATGTGACCAGAAAAGCCATTGGAAAGAGAAGAGACTTTACTCAGCAGCTTCCGTTTAAATAGTTTGTGTTGAAATTTACTTTCTCAGGAAAAACAACAAAAAGAAAAAACACAGGCAAGAAAGACTGATGCATTCATCAAAGTATCAACTAAAAATAGTATATATATAAAGAAGAAGAAAGAAAAACTAACCGAGAATGTGTGAATCTTTCTTTCTTCTTCTCTTCTTGGAATCTGAGAGTTCGTGTGTTTGTGGGAGAGGAAGCAAAATGGAAGTAGTTAAATAATGTTTTGGGCTTAGCAACACCGGTTCGGTTTGTATCTACACATGCGTGGTGGATGGATGACGATATGATGTCGGTTTCAAATCTTATTTTGATCATTTTCTATAGATTAATTAATATGGTAAAAAGGTATATAAAATAAAGTTATATCTTTTAGATCAAAATAAAATATTGTTTAATTTTATCAATCCACATCTTATTACTTTCTTGAACGATCTCTTATTACTCATCTGAAATTTTAAGATATGATGATTCAGAAGAAAACCTACAACAAATTAATAACCGAAAAGTTCTAGGATGAAGAAGAAGAGAAACTATAAGTTACCTTTTGCGGGGGAATCCAGAGAAGAAACTGTAAAAGACAAGCAGGAGAAGGAGAAGAAACAAGATGAAGAGACGAGGAGTCACGGAGTAGGTAAAGAGTCTCCACGTTTATACGACAGGCTTCCACTCACCAAACTTTTTTAGAAATAGTTTATTTTCAAATGGATTGTGATTTATGGGGTTTTTCATTGGGGCTCAATGTCCCAAAGTGAAGTAAACTATGAAGTTGTGGCTATAGATCAAGTAGTAATGATGTTGATACCTTTAACTCTATATTGCCTATTCGAGTTTACTGGTAGCCATATCTTAGTGACATCAGTTGACCTGTACGGCTATAAGTGAATTTCCAGTTATAAAAATGCAACAGAGTATCTAAAAAGGTAAAAAAAAATGTAAAATACATGACATAAAAGAGAAATATGATCTGTATAAGAACTCGTAACACATTTAAAAAAAAAAAAAAACAGATGACGTGATTTGTCAGTTTCAAATGGTGTTTCTTTAGAAAAGAAAAGCAAAGAAAAAAAATTTTAATTATCTAATGAAAATATATTGAAATAAAAATATATTTGGATTGAGATATCCAATTGGAGTACGAGACCAACCAATAAAATTGCTCTAACATTTCTGTTTAGAAAAATACTCCAACGAAAGTACCGTCCAACTTCATAAATATAGCGAGATATTTGGTGACATGAGTTACATTTGATTAAGTTTGAGTTAGGCTTTTAACTCAAAAATGTTACCAATCATGCATCAAATTCAATTTTCTGATTTTAAGTTTGCTTTAAAATGTATTGTAGTTGAGTTATAACTTGGAGTTAGTCCCTTTATAAAATTGATAACTCAAATCATAAACTTACATCAATCAAAATTCCATGTTTTACAAGTTGAGTTACAAATTTGTTTAATTTTTTCTAAAAGAAAAAATAATGAAAACGTGAGTGTGGTGGTATCACATCACTTTCCAAACCCAAAAATTTAAAATCTGGTTCTTTGATTGCAAAAAAATTATTTTGCTTTTTCACTTGCAAAAACCAATAACTTTAACTTCTTTTGCTATTATTGTATTTTAAAAAAAAAATATTTTATGCCATTATTATTGTTATTCATTTTATTTACTTTTTATTTATATTAGAATAAATAGTGTCAGCTTAATGCTTTATTTTGTATAATAAATATTTTACTATTTGATTAAAATATTTGTAAATTAATATATATTGAAAATTAATTTTCAAATTTTATAATTATCTAAAATATATTTTTATTTTAAAAACATCTTAATGGTTTATTTTTAATAAAAGTTTACTGTTTATATGTTTATAATATTTAATTTATTTATTTAGAATCTATACTGCAGTTTATACATCAAAAATGTTACCAGTCATAAATTTTAATAAAATGATAATTTTTATTTTTACTGCGAATTTACCATATAAACTTACCATTTTTACCACATAACTTTTACTGCAAACTACATCGAACTACAAATCATATTATAATTCAATTGTAATACTACACGTCACCAGTCGGAGCCATACCCATTGGATGCAACTAGATTGTTGATTTTTGGAATGAAATGCTTTGGAATGATCCATTCCATCGATTCCAAAAAAAAAATCACCATTTGATATAAATGAAATGGAATATACTCATTTCATAAATACACAAACATTCCAAAAAAATTACAAAGAATTTTTTTCCTAAAGATTCCATTTCAATTTTGTTCATGAATGAATGGAATGAAATCTATTCCACTTTTTGATGTATTCATTTCATTTATTTGCATTCCATCAGTTCATAATTTTTGTACCAGTTACAGCCATAGTATTACTTCTTATTCTTATTGTACATTCATGTTCTGCTATTTTCATATTTGACCAGGAAATAGTTTTATTTACAGCAACACTTAGAATGTTTGATGTTTGTCAATAATTTACAACACTTCAAACTTTGGACTGAAGACATTTTTTTTTTTTTTTTTGTATTTTGGGATTCTTCTGTTTAAAGGGTAATTAGTGTCTCTTCCTCTTCTTTAGATTTAATTTAAAACTAGAAAGCTACATTATATATATATATATATATAATAGACTTGTAACTTTAAAGTATATACATGACTAAGCTTAACTAGATCTTCCACCAGCTAATAAAAATCTCACAGATGTAAGACCTTTATTCCAAGGATGGCATTTGTTTTAACCTTTTATAAAGTCCACTTTGCATATACCAAAAGAAAGAAATAAAAAGTAGATAAAGCGATTAGACCGAATTATATTTACATTTGTGGCCACATAACTTAGCTAGGCTGTGACCACATTAGATAATCTATTTAGAACTTTTCTTAAGTTTAATGAAGCAATGCAACTGTATTATTAGTGATTTATCATTGATCTTCGATCTGAATTAAAAAAAGCCTCCCACAAAAAGTCAAAATTTCATTTTTTCAAAAAAAAAGATTTTGAAAAAATATAGAAAAAGTATTTGAAAAAAATATTTTGAGTTTATTATTTTCAATTTTAATGTTTATTTTCATGTATTTAAAAATAATTAATCAAAGTTATAAATGAAGATATAATAATCATTTACCCCTTTAATAAAACATAATTTGGTGACTTTAACCTTTGGGAGCTATTTAAGAAACAAAAACTAAAATGTGCTATTTAGAAGATTTGCACTTGTAACCATATGGAAACGCGGAATCAAAATTTTTTTTTAAAAATTAGAAAGCTGGTACGTGTTGGAAACGTATATCCAAATCTACATTATATATACAAAAAATTATAACTAAGAATTATATAATTCTAATTTAAAATAAAGCATTTATTCTTTTATCATAATTTTAAATGGTTGCATATTATCATTTTGAAAATACGAATAAATTAAGTTTATATACAAATATTACTAATTAGTTATTTTTACATTTAATAAATAATTGACACACAGGATTTGAATATATATATATATATATATATATGTACGTATGATATATCTCTAATAAAAACAATGCATACATATGATTTAAAGTATTAATATTAGTTTTACATATATATATTTTCACTATATATATTATTATATATTATAAAAATGATTTTATATTTTATTTATTTATTTATAATATTGTGTTTTTAAAATTGGAAGCGTGATTCCAAAGTGAAATCGTAATCTTCCAACGTGTTTTTGTATAGGATATTTTAAAAGCTTTGTGGAATCGAGATTCTGTAAGCTTCCATAAGCTTCCGATTCCGATTTCGATTCCGAAGCGGGAAGTGCATGTCCGATGAAGTTTCCGTGCAACACAGCTCGTAACTATTGATTTTGTTTTGAACAAAGGATCATAATGATTGATTTGTTATATTATAATCGTTTATGCTTTTTGAGGTTTTCTATGGAAATCTTTATATTCTTTATTTAAAACTAGATATGGACCCGTGCTTTGCACGGGTTTTGATTAATGTTTTATAAGTTTAAGAAAAAAAGATAAAAATAAAAAACTTTTTTTTATTGAAATTGAATGTTTTTATATATGGTGTGTCGAATTCATTTTAGTAATCAAAATTCGGTTTTTTTGCATAAGTTTTGGTTAAACTTTAATTCAATAATGATGGCACATATACGTAGAGCTAGAGAAAATAAGCAAGACCCGAAAGTTCAAATTAAACGCAATCTAAAGAAATGTAAATTAGAGTGAAATACAAAGAATTTGAAAGGTGAATCAAGCCAATCAAGTATATGATAATGGAATATACTTTATTAAACTCTTAGTTTTGTCTTTATTAATTTGCTTTTATTCTTCTTACTCA